GCCTCAACCTCCCAAGTAGCTGGGACTACAGGCACCCACCACCATGCCTGGCTAATTTTGTTTTTGTATTTTTAGTAGAGACGGGGTTTCACTGTGTTAGCCAGGATGGTCTCAGTCTCCTGATCTTGTAATCTGCCCACATCAGCCCTGCAAAGTGCTGGAATTATAGGCATGAGCCACTGCGCCCAGCATCTAATGTGTACTTAATCTTAATATTTCCACTAACAGCAAAAAAAAAAAAAAAAAAGTTTAACTGTGGGTTTAGATACCAACTCTTGATACTGTGCATCTTTAAACAGGTTGTCATATTAAAAGTATAAAATTTAAAAGATGCATATTTTTATCTTTAGTGTATACGGTTCTTTGAGACACAAGACATATAAATGTGTATGTGTATGACTTGCTGCCTCCGTGGTTATCTTGAGATGAGTAATCTGTTTCCAGACCTTACTGAGATGCCAAGCAGTGTGACTGTGACATGCGTTTTTTTAACAGCCTCACGGACTGAAAAGTTGGGTGGCCACTGACCTGGCACTGTCCCTGCCACTCCACACTCACTCGGTGGTGACCGGCTGCCCTGGGGATGGTGGTGTGGCAAGTGTTTGCCAGGCTAGTGTTGCTGTTCGACACCTTCCTGCCTGTCTTACACTGTCCACTTTTAAGCATTGGTAGCAGTGTACTTTCTACAAGTTTTTAAGGTGGGAAACTAGAAAATATTCACTTTGTAATTAAATCTGGATTAGTAAAAATAGGAATGAAATCTGAAATTACCCTGTCTTTTTTTTTTTTTTGGTACAGAGTCTCGCTCTGTTGCCCAGGCTGGAGTGCAGTGGCGCCATCTTGGCTCACTGCAAGCTCCACCTCCCGGGTTCACACCATTCTCCTGCCTCAGCCTCCTGAGTAGCTGGGACTACAGGCGCCTGCCACCACGCCTGGCTAATTTTTTTGTATTTTTAGTAGAGACGGGGTTTCACCATGTTAGCTAGGATGGTTTCGATCTCCTGATCTCGTGATCCACCCGTCTCGGCCTCCCAAAGTGCTGGAATTACAGGTGTGAGCCACTGTGCCCAGCCCTTTTTTTTGTTTTTTGAGTTTTTTTGGAGATTGGTCTCACTCTGCTGCCCAGGCTGAAGCGCAGTGGCGCAGTCTTAGCTCACTGCAGCCTCCACCTCCTGGGCTTAAGCGATCCTCCTGCGTCAGACTCCCAAGTAGCTGGAAATACAGGCACGTGCCACCACACCCTGTGAATTTTAGCATTTTTTTTATAGAGACAGGGTCTCACCATGTTGCCCAGGCTGGTCTGGAACTCCTGGGCTCACATGATCTTCCCGTTGCAACCTCCCAAAGTGCTGGGATTATAGATGCGAGCCACCATACCTGACCAGCCTCGTCTTTTGCATATACTCAGTACGTAAATGTGTAAAGTTTCCTGGCAGAGTTCATTTCTACAACAGCTATCCGTGTGGGAAGAGGGGTTCTCACCTTAGGTGTGTGAGTTGCTGAGCAGGTGAACACGGCCCTCTCACCACGTGCTGGAGGGTGCCAGTGAACACGCAGGCAGGGCTCTGAGCCTGCATTGCTAAGGGCAGCCAAGGGATTCTGGGAGTCCATCAGAGGCCGGCCTTTGAGAATTGTGTTCAGTAACAGAAAAGGCTCCAGACTTGGAAACTGCCAAAGGGTGGCCCAGGTTCCTGCTTCAGGATGACTCCAGAAAAATGGTGAGACCTGGGCCTGCAGTTTTGCTGCCTCGTTCTATGATACAGTTTATCTTGAATTTCAAAAGTTAATACTCTTAAGAATTCAAACAGCTGTCCTTTGCAGTCCGTATCTTATTGCTTACTTTCTGTTAACTTGTGTGGGCTGCCCTTGAATGGGGGAGGACTAGGCCGGGCTGTGTCTCATTCTGCCACATCTCATTTTGCCCAATTGCTAAAAACGGGAGGCGCTTAACGCCCAGGTTAGCTGAGCAGAGTCTAGCCTTGTGGAGTGGAGTTACGGCTTGTCTTTCTCTGCAGAGTGGAGTGTGGGATTTGGGGCAGAGCCGTGTGGGGCCAAGCAAGGTGGAAGTCCTGCTTCTTCAGGCCAGGAAAGTGGGGACAAGGTTTGTTTTCCATTTTGCTAAAGGCTACCAATCTGTATTCTCTCTTTTGCAGAACCGTGGGTACCGATGGATGTGGCCGAGAGCCCTGAACGGGATCCTCGCTCTCCAGAGGATGAAGAGCAGCCACAGGGGCTCTCGGACGATGACATTCTGAGGGACAGCGGGTCCGATCAGGATTTGGACGGGGCGGGGGTGAGGGCTTCTGATCTGGAGGATGAGGAGAGTGCAGCCAGGGGGCTGAGCCAGGAGGAGGAAGATAACCACTCCGACGAGGACCGGGCAAGTGAGCCTAAATCCCAAGAGCAGGACTCGGAGGTGAATGAGCTGAGCCGGGGCCCGACCAGCCCCCCCTGCGAGGAGGAGGGGGACGACGGGGAGGAAGACAGGACAAGCGACCTTAGGGACGAGGCCTCCTCAGTCACCAGGGAGCTGGACGAGCATGAGCTAGACTACGACGAGGAGGTCCCCGAGGAGCCGGCTCCCGCCGTCCAGGAGGACGAGGCCGAGAAAGCGGGGGCTGAGGATGAGGAGGAGAAGGGCGAAGGCGCTCCCAGGGAGGAGGGGAAGGCTGGTGTTCAGAGCGTGGGAGAAAAGGAATCCCCAGAGGCTGCCAAGGAGAAAAAGAAAGAGGACGATGATGGAGAGATCGATGACGGGGAAATAGACGTGAGTATGATGGGGCAGAGCGTCGCAGGGCGTCCTCCCAGCGCCTGACACAGGCCAGTGCCGGGAAGGAGGGACTCCGTGCGGGACAGACGTAGTGATTTTCTTACCAGGGATGGAGCAGGAGAATGAGAGGCTTGTTCTGGGGTCAGTCCCATAGTGACTGGAAAGGAAGAATGAGAATCGAGAAAGAATCGGAAATCAAGAATGAGAATAGGCAGCTCCGGAAGCTGCCAGCAGGGTTTCCATGGCCCTCGGCCGGCCGGCTGGTGGGATTGTTTGGGTTGTAGTAGAAGACCTAGCACCCAGTGTTTTTAGGTTCTAGGAGTGAAGGGGTAATGTCTTCCCTTGTCTTTGCCGTCTTCAAGTGATACTCGAGTTAGCTCTCAACCAGAAACCGCGTGGGTTTCCACTCTTGTCAGGTTTTTGGACTGAAAAGAATGAGGAAAGTTTCCATCTGGTTGTGGATGTTCTTCTAGGCATTCTTACGCTGGCCCTAGAGCCTGACCTCTGGAGAGGGCACCAGCTGGGCCAGGCCTCTTTGGAGGGATCCCTGAAAAGACCGTGGTGGGCACCTCAACTTCTGACAAAGTCAGCACACTTTTTTGTACGTGAAATTAATGTGGCCTTCAGGTTGAGGGGAAGGTAGTACTATCTGTGATCCTAGATCTGGGTAGATGGGGTTTTCCTGGCAGTTGATGCCATTGGAAAAATTATGAGTGTTTCCAGAGAAACGGCCCAAAGTCCTCCTGAGTGATACTTTCCAGAGCTATTGAACTCAAAGGAGCTGAGCAAGGGGCGGAGCAGTTGAACTGAATTGGGTGGTGGTGGTGGTGGTGGTGGTGGTGGCGTTTTTGTTTTCGAAGGATCCCAGGGAAGGGGGTTCTGCTTACTGGGAGTCATTACAGTGAAAAGGTGTCTGCAGAGAGTATTTGTCTGATCTCATGGTCTGGGTTGAGGCAGGTAAAGGTTGCCAGTTAGATGTGTAACCACAAGTTTGCCTTGAGTGCAATGCTCCTTTTCTTTTTTTTTTTTTTTTTTTTTTTTTTTTGAGACAGAGTCTACTCTAACCCAGGCTGGAGTGCAGTGACGCCATCTCAGCTCCGTATATAGCCTCTGCCGCTGAGGTTCAGGCAGTTGTCCTGCCTCACTCTGCTGAGTAGCTGGGATTGCAGGCACCTGCCACCACTGGCTAATTTTTGTATTTTTGGTAGAGATGGGGTGTCGCCATGTTAGCTAGGCTTGTTTCAAACTCCTGACCTCAGGTGATCCGGCCATCCCAGCCTCCCACGGTGCTGGGATCACAGGTGTGAGGTACCACGCCCGGCAAGTGCCATGCTTCTCCAGTAGCATGTTGGTGTGCGTGCTCTCAGTCCACGTTTGGATGTGACTTTTTGGCCATAGCTGATAGCTGTGACAGTGCTCAGTAATTTATAGGGTTTGAAGTATTGCTCATCTAACTTTATGGGACATATGTGTGCCTACAAGCTTAGAGTTTTAGATGTTTCATTTTTTCACAACTAAACGTAGGAGGTGGTCTACTCAGCTAGTGCTTTTTTTTTTTTTTTTGCAAGAGGAGAGCTACCCCAGGGCTGGCAGAGGGAAAGGAGACACAGTGAGATTCAAGTTCATCAATTTGGGTGAACTGGTTGGGTTGAGGATGCCCATGAGTTTGAGTTTTTGGTGTCCTGGGATAATAGCCCTGTCTACAGACCACCACTGGGAGTGCAGCAGGCCCTGCACCCAGGGCTCTGGCATGCTCCAGTTCCTCTTAAGAGGACTGGCTGTGGACCCTGAAGTCTTGGGGGAGATTCATCAGACAGGTCAAGGGTCCCCATAGTGGTCCTGAAATGCCATGTCTGCGGGGCATACTGTGAGTTCTCGATGGTGCACCATGTGTGCGGACGGTGCGGTAGATGGGCTGAGCCCAGCTGGCCTAGAGAAGGGCCCTGGCTGCCAAAGGCCTGGATGTGCTGGTTTTCCCTAGACACAGCGCATGGAAGAAAACGCTGTTTGCCATTTTTGCCCACCTAGACCCTGCCTGCCCTGCTTGGCAGCATCTTGTGAGGGGACCCACAGTTGAAAACGGGGTGCTGCTGCGGAAACCCCAGCACAGCTCCCTCAGCAACCAGGGAGGCAGGTTCCCTCCCACAGCACAGACGGCCTCCAGTGCCCCGCATTCCCCACAGGTCTGTGCTCCTGGACACCAGCACAGGTGGACCTTGCTGTGCCACATGCTGAGTGTGACTGGGCAGAGCAGAGTGCGCTCCTGTTGTGGGGGCAGCAGGCCTCTGCCCAACACGGGCAGTGCTGTGAATGCTGCGTTCAGCCCCTGTGAGAGCACATTTGACTTCAGGCCCCTGGGTTGCTTGCCCCAGGGGCTCCCGTAGCCTCCTCTTGTTCCCACACCCAGCGGTGTCTCAGGCTCCTCCATCCTTTATGTGTCAGCCTCAGCATTTGAGTAGGCTGTTTCTCTGTTGCCCCTGCCTGTCCATCGTGGCACAGGTTCGTGTGTGTGTGTGTGTGTGTGTGTGTGCGCGCCTGCTGCTTCCCCTACTCCCAAGAACATGTTTCCTAAGACTGGGGGCTACCTGGCTAGTTCCCCTGTCTCCCTGGGGCCTGGCACATGGTGAGCAGCTAGTCAATGGAGGAATCCCACTTGCCCGGGGCACACTGAAGGTGAGAGCCTTTGTAACGTGAAGCGGCAGTGAGTGGAAAGTCACACTCAGGAGCCCGTCACAGATGGAGGGGAGTTCACGTGAGCAGCATCAGCCCTCCACCCTGCGGGAAGGACCCAGCAGAGGTACGCGCCACGCCATCCTGTGCATGAAGGGCTGCCAGTCCGGCTCCTTCCAGCTTTTTCCTCCTCTTGGGCCCAGTTCCAAGCCTGTCGTCCACTCTTGTATCTCTGTTGCATCTCCACCAAGCATACCTCCTGTGCCTGCCTCTCTTTCGCGGAGGCCCTGCTGCATTCCTCACCGCACCCTGCTCCCTTCTCTGTCTCTGGCTGTGTTTCTCTGATGGACTGGGAGCCCTGGGGTGCGCTGGGTCCATGAGCAGTCGGCTTCCCACCAGGCCTTTGGCTAAGTCCCCTTTCCTTTCAGTCCCTGGAAAGCAGCCTCTGCGTGTGTTGGAAAGTGTCCTTTCTAGAAGGCCTTTTTTCTCGTTGCCTTCAGGCAGAGCCCTGGTGTCAGGTCAACTACCGGGATGTTTCTCTGTGGAAGAGGTGTGCTCTTTGGCCTGTACCTTCGCAAATGGATGTTTCGGAGGCCTTATAGCATTCCACATCCCAGCAGGATCTTACCGGCCCAGTTGGGAGAGGGGCTGCTCCGCCCAGAGGCTCTTGTGGCCTGCCCCTTGGCACCCTGGTTTACTGGATGCCAGGAACAACTGAGTGGCAAAGTCTAGAGAGCCATTTGATTCAGCATTCTCTTTTTTTTTTTTTTTTTTTGAGACGGAGTCTCGCTCTGCCGCCCAGGCTGGAGTGCAGTGGCCGGATCTCAATCCAGTCTTCTTTCCACTTCCCCAT